CTCTTCAGCTGGTGGAGTACACGACCCTGAGCAAGCAGCATCGGATACTCGTCGTCCTGATGGGCTGGAGCGGCCTCCTGAGACATCGTCGCCAGTCTTGGTTTGTTGGACTCCAGCGTGTCTTCGTACAGAATCGGCGTGTCAGCCATGTCGGCGGCCAGACACGGCCACTGGAGGCCTCCTGCCTCAAGTCTGCCGTATGTGATGCCGCCATAGGGGCTGATGAGGTTATTAAGCTCGTCGAAGATCTGCTCTTCTTCAGTGTAGTCGAATCCGGGGCTGTCCATTCGACGCGCTATCTGCGACAGGATGCGCCAGTCCGCGTCTCCATCTCCCTTGGGCCTGAGCGCTGGCCTGAGCAGCTGCACACGTCTTTCCAGGTTCGTGTAGGTTCCCAACCGTTCGGCGAACGTGAGGGACGGCAACACGACATCGGCGCGCTCCGTGATCTGGTTGCCGAAAGTGGCGTGGGTCACGACAAACTCGGCCTGTTCCACGGCTTCCATGAATCCGGCCAGTTCCCCGTTGGAGTATGTTGGACTGTCTCCGATCAGGTGGAGCGCCTTGACCAGGCCGGACTCCACTGCCCGTGATACTCTTGTACTCCAATCCGGGGTATCGGGGACATCAGAACTCCATGCCCTGGTGAATCTCCCGCGATTTTGCTCACGCTCGACCGGGCGCTGTCCCGGAAGAAAGTCCGGTACGCATCCTACGTCCAGCGCGCCCTGGTCGTTGGCGCCGGTGCGCAGCGGGTACAGTCCGGATGAGGCTCTGCCCACGTTGCCGGTAACCAATGCCAGATTGACGAGTGCCTTCGAACAGGCTTCGTGCAGGTCCGCAGGCACCGTCTCCAGCCCATACAGGATCGCTCCCGGTTTCTCTTCCGCGAAGCTCATGGCCGCCGCGCGGATCTCGTCTTGAGCACGCCCTAAGACGACGCTCGCAAACCCGCTCCAGGCTCGAATTCCTGATAATGCGAGCTTTCCTAACGCCGGAACGCTTCGACGAAGCTGATGCAGGTAAGTCGCTGATCCGGCGAGAGACTGCGGTCCGCCAGACGGCTAACAGCGATCATCGTAGCCGCCAATCAGTGCAGCTCGTCACTACCTGTTTGTGGTCAGTCAGCTCCACCCTTGGCGTGGCGCGCCAGCTCGGTTTCCCGCTGGTCGATCACAATGAGTGTCGCGCCGTCGTGGAGTACAGCCTTCTTGATTGGAACGGCTGCCACGACTATCGTGCTCCTCAGTCATGTTGGACGACACGACGAGGAAACGCTTGGAGTTTTCCAACTCCCATATCGAATTGGTCGCCGCGCCGTAGCCGAGCTGATCCATCAGCGGTGTCAGCATTGCTGGCGAGTGTTCGATGCTGTGTCCACGTTGTTGGTGCCCATGACCACGCGGGCGAACTTCTGGGCGATGTAGGCGTCTTCGTTTGTCGCCCTGGGAGAGTCAAAGTCATGCAGTAGCGTACTAGACCGTCCATTGTATTCCCCGAGCCTGTTCGGCAGACCAGGCTCCAGAGCTCGGGCCACGTCGCACTCCTGAGCTGGCCCGTTGCGCGACGGATGAGCGGGGTCCTGATCCGGTCTCTTCGGTTCACGAACTCCAAGCCGATTTGCCCTTGAAGCATCCCTGGCCCTGGTTAGCCTGCGCATGACGGTCCGGTATCGCGCGGATCATGCGATCGCGCTTGTTGATCTCCAGGGTCATCTCACAGCCAACGGGACAGTGAGGACAGATAGTGTTGACTGTCTCGACTGCCTTGTCCCACTTATAGTCGCGCTCGACGAGCGCGCCGGTAGGACAGACGTCGATGCAGGCGCCGCAGAACTCGCATCCGGACTCCAGCAGGCTGGTCCCCTGCGATGTTCCGATGAGGCTTCTGCCAGAGCGCATCTGGAGCGTCAGCGCCGAGTCCCCGCGTACTTCGTCGCACACACGAACACAGCGTGCGCAGACGATGCACAGGTTCATGTCCATGTCCCAGAACGGGTCCTGCGTCGCGAGCGGCAGATGGCGGTTGTTGTAGGTCAGTGGGGTATCCATCTCCATTTCCAGATACCGCACTGTGTCCTTGAGCTCGCAACGCTCGTTCTTGGGACAGGTAACGCACCGGTCGTTGACGGTGACGTGGCGGAGGCAGATGTCTGCCGGTCCGCACAGTTCGACCCTGTGGCAGGTCAGGCACCCGTGGGGATGCTCGGACAACAGGAGCTCCATGATCCCCCGGCGCAGGCCCTGAAGCTCGCTGCTGCTACTTGTAACTCTCATGCCAGGGGAAACGGGAGTCGTGCACGATGCCGGAGAGCCGGGTAGCGCCCGATAGCTGCCGTCCGGGCCAGGAGCCTCGGCGGTAACCACGCACATGCGACATGCGCCGAAGGGCTTCATCCCCGGGTAGTAGCAGAGATAGGGAATGTACATTCCCGCGTCCATAGCAGCCTGGATAATCATCTGGCCGGGCTTCGCCGGAATCTCTTGTCCGTCGATTGTGATTGTTATGTTGTCAGCCATTCTGCGCTCCGGGTACGAAGTCGAGGGCGTATGGTCGCGTGTTCTTCGGGGCGATGTGCGGACCGAGGCAGCTTCCGGTTGGACACCTGCGCTCTTCAATGTGTGCGATGAAGTCGGACTCGAAGTGAGTCAGCGCCGACCTGATGGGACCGAAGCCGAGCTGTCCGTGACCGCACAACGAGCTTGCCTCCATCGTAGTTCCTACTGAACGCATCAGTTCGAGGTCGCCGGGACGACTCTCGCAGCGTGCTATGCGTTCTGTGATCTCCAGCAAGTGCTCCATCCCCAGCCTGCAGGGGAAGCACTTGCCACAGGACTCGAACTGACAGAAGGCCACAAGCACGCGAGTGAGGTCCACGGCGCATACGTCTTCGTCTCCAACGATAATTCCGCCGGAGCCGAGTATAGCCCCAGCGTCCCGCATCTCGTCGAAGTCCAAGTGGACTGCCATGCTGTCGGAGCTGAGCACTCCCCCGAGTGGCCCCCCGGTCTGCAGCAGTTTGAGCTGTTTGCCGTCCGGTACGCCGCCGCCGATGTCGTTGACGACTTCGCCAAGCGTCATCCCCATCGGCACCTCGTACAGGCCCGGATACTCGATGTTTCCGTTCAGACAGATTATCGCTGTGCCAGTGCTTCGGTTGACGCCTATGGAGCTGAACCACTCGGCGCCGCGCGAGATGATCTCAGGCGCGTATGAGTATGTCTTTACGTTGTTGATAGTGGACGGATGCCCCCAAACGCCGAATGCGGCAGGGAAGGGGGGACGGAATCGCGGCTGAGCGCGCTTGCCCTCGATGGCCTCCATGAGTGCGGTCTCTTCGCCCGCGACGTAGGACTCACCGGTAAGGGCGACCTCGATCTCGAAGCTGAAGTCGGTGCCGAAGATGTTCTTGCCAAGCAGGCCCACTTCGTACGCCTGCTTGATGGCCTCCTCGGTGCGGTCAATAGGACCGTCGTGTCCGTGGCGTATGAAGACGATTCCGTTCGTCGCGCGGGTGGCGTACCCGCCGATTATCAGGCCCTCCAGCAGTGTGTGAGGGTCGCTCTCCAGTATGCCCTTGTCGTTGTAGGCGCCAGGATCGCCCTCTTCACAGTTGCAAAGCATATACTTGGGAGGCCCTGGCGACCTCACCATGAAGCTCCACTTTACGCCTGTCGGAAACGCCGCTCCCCCTCGGCCTCTCAGGCCCGAATCGGACATCTCCTTTATGACGTCATCCGGCTCCATCTGCGTAAGCGCTTTGTGGATGCCCGCGTACCCGCCGTTGGCGATGTACTGGTGGATGTCACTTGGTGCGATGTGGCCGGCGTTTCGCAGCGCGATTCTCTGCTGCCTGCCTATGCCCGGCAGTTCCTGAAGGTCTGGCGCACCCTGGATTGGAGCTTCGCCCAGGTACCCCAGCACCTTGTCATCGGGAACGACCCCATGGACAATGTACTTGTCGACGATGGCTGCGACATCTTCTGGCGTGACGTTGCCGAAGAACAGTCTGGACTCAGTACCCGGCCTCAGAACGTCTATCAGCGGCTCCGCGTAGCATATGCCGAGACACCCGACCTCATCTACGAGGGCCGCTATCCCGCGGCTGTCGAGTTCGGCTCTGAGCGCGTCTATGACGTCAAATGCTCCGGCGGAGTGGCCGCACATGGCAGTGCCGACTCGAATCCAAGGGTCTGGACCGCTCGTGAGCGTCTTCCACCGTTCGTCGGCTGTCTCTTTTATCGTTTCGTAAGTGGGCATGGCCGACCGCCGACGCGCTGAGGCGCGATCTACTAGGTACCTTGTAGTTTCTGCACCCGGCTGGATGCCGACTCCGGTGTCACACGTCCGATCAGGCGGTGGTCGACGCTCATGACCGGGGCGACAGAGCAGGCGCCAAGACAGGTGTTGAACTTGAACGAGATAGCGCCGTCTTCTGTCTCGCCCTCATCTTCCAGACCCAAATGGTCCATTACACGGCTAAGTATGTGGGACGCACCCTTGAGATGGCAGGTTGGGCCCCAGCAGATCTCAACGGTATGCGCACCAGGAGGCGTGAACCTGAAGTTAGTGTAAAAAGATGCAACGCCCCAGACTTCGTTAATGGTTGTTTCGTTCAGGACGGCCACTTCTTCAATGGCCTCATCCGGGATGTAGCCAAGCTCGTCCTGGACTGCGAGTAACGACGAAAGAACGGTAACCGTGGGACGGCTCTGGTTATTGATTGCGCGTCGCAGCCGGGCACTGTCCTCTGCGCTGAGTGGAGGCAAATCCGATCCCTCGTCGATTAGCGAAATCTGTCACAATGATAACATACATCAGGCGCGGCTCGTGACCAGCCGACCGCGTGTGCGGCTATTGAGTCAACACCTTCAGCTTCAACTCATCGAGTTGCGCCTGGTCAACCTCGCCGGGAGCGCCGAAGAGCGGGTCAATACCGTTCTGGGTCTTTGGGAATGCAATTACGTCCCGGATGTTGTTGTTCCGCGTGAGCGTCATCAGCAGTCTGTCGATGCCCGGCGCGATCCCTCCGTGAGGGGGTGCGCCGTATTCGAACGCGGTCAGAAGTTGGCCGAACCGCTCGGCAACCTCGTCAGTGGTGTAACCAAGCACCTCGAACACCTTCTCCTGGAGCCCTCGTGTGTGGATTCTGATGCTGCCGCTGGCGAGCTCAGTCCCGTTCGCCACGAGGTCGTAGAGGTGTCCGATTACCCGTCCGGGGTCGGAATCGATGAACTTCTCGGTGCCGTACTTGGGCATGGAGAAAGCGTGGTGCATGGCGTCCCATCGCTCCTCGTTCTCGTTCCACTCGAACAGTGGAAAGTCGGTTATGTACGCGAAGGCGATGAGGTCGGGGTCGGCCATCTCCAGCCTGCGTCCCATCTCGTGACGCAGATTGCTCAGTGCCTGGTTGGTGGTCTTATCCGGCCCAGCCACTATCAGTACCATGTCGCCGACGCCCGCTCCTGTCCTCTGAGCGATCTGTTTGATCTGTTCCAGTGAGAGGAATCGCGCCGCCGCTGACCGTCCTGGTCTTCGGTCAGGTCGTCGATGGAGCCCTCGCCTGTCAACGCTATCGTGACCAGACCTCTCGCGCCCCATGCTTTTACGAATTCGATCAACTCGTCCGTCTGGCGACGAGAGTACGTGGCGCAACCCGGAGCGCTGAATCCCTTCACTATCCCGCCGCCCTGGACCACCGACGTGAACACCCGGAAGTCTGTGCTTTCCGCAATGTCGGACAGGTCGGCCATCTGCATCCCGAATCGCAGGTCGGGCTTGTCCGTGCCGTACGAAGCCATCGACTCGGCATATGTCAGGCGGGGGAATGGTTGGAGCATTCGCCTGTCCGGTGTGACCGTCTCGATTAGAGCGGTGTACAACTCTTCAATCAGACCGAGTATGTCATCTTCCTCGACGAAGCTCATCTCCAGGTCCAGCTGGGTGTGTTCGGGTTGACGGTCCGCGCGTGGGTCTTCGTCTCTGAAACAGCGGGCGATCTGGAAGTACTTCTCGACTCCCGAAGCCATCAGCAGCTGTTTGAGCTGCTGAGGAGACTGTGGGAGCGCGTAGAAGCTGCCTGGATATAGCCGGCTTGGCACAAGGTAATCGCGCGCGCCCTCCGGCGTGCTCTTGATGAGTATCGGTGTTTCAACTTCGAGAAAGCCGCGCCTGTCCAGGAAGTCCCGAATGAACTTGACAACCTTGTGTCGGAGAATCAGCATGTCCCTCATGCTTGGGCGTCTGAGGTCCAGATACCGGTACTGCATACGCAGCAGCTCATCGACGTCGGACTCTTCGTTGATGTAGAACGGCGGAGTCAGCGACTCGTTTGAGTACGGACGTCTCCGATGCCATCAGCTCTATCGAACCCGTCGATAAGCTCGGGTTCTCAGTGCCTTCCGGCCGCAGGGCGACCTCCCCTGAGACCTGAATTACCCACTCGTTGCGGAATCGTTCGGCCGTCCGATGGGCGTCCGGGGCGATCTCTGGATTGAAGACTACCTGTGTAAGGCCATCACGATCCCTGATGTCGATGAAGATCAGCGAACCGTGGTCCCTGCGCCGGTGCACCCATCCGGCCAGGGTGGCGGTCTGACCAGCGTGCTCAGCCTTGAGACTTCCGCAGCTTATCGACTTGAGCAAGGCGACACCTCGGGTAGGTGAGTGTGGGGAAGATCGTAGACACAGAGTCCACAACTTGAAGTGATGATAGCCGGGTTCAGGGCTACATGTAAACTGGCATTGGGACCGCGCCACATACTGCTGTCACAGCCTGGAGATGACTGGCCCTAAGGCAAGCACTCCCAGAGAAGGGCGGACGGATCAGATGGCCGCCGTCGGACAATTAGCCGGCAAACTGGCCCAGGCTGTCCTTGCCCACGGATAGCAGCAAATAGCTCTCAATCCGATGTATGCCCGGGATGGAGCCGAGATCGGTCAGCAGGAAATCACCCAGCTTGTCTGAGCTGTCGACGCTTATGCACAACATCAGATCATAGCTGCCAGTTGTACAGGCGGCAAAGGTTACTTCTTCCCGACTGCACACCTGTGCCAGCACCGCATCCACTTCGGACGGTTCTACTGTCACCCCAACCATGCACTGAGACATTCTTCCCAGGCCCTTGGGGTCGGAGATGACCCGGAACTGGACAACGTCCTCTTCCACCATCCTTTTAAGGCGCCGTCTGACGGTTCCCTCACTGACACCAACATGACGGGCGATCTGAGCGTTCGACGCTCTTCCGTCGGTGCTCAGTATATCAACAATCGCCACGTCAATTCTGTCCATGGGATAAGCCTCGTTTTTGGGATATGTTCACATCCAATATAGCGATTCTGAGATGCTGTGAAAAGTGTTTCAAGCCTAGAAATTGGTCAACACGGCTCATATTTTCCACGAAGTACTACCATTATGTGTGGACGAAATTCGCAGTCAATATAGATTCTGTGTGAGTGGCGTAACACATATACCGCAGCTAATATGCGTGGCTAAAACTTGCTGATGGACAGGTAGAAGCCAATTCCACCCGCGAGTAAGTTGATTGTATTAAACGTCATTCCATCTGTCAGATAAGTGATTATAGTGTATCCAAGAAGCATCGATAGCCCGGCGGCGAGTTTCAGCCGTTTCCCACGCTTTCTATTCGTAGACAAGCTGATCGTCTCACCCACCAGATACCCAAGGCCAACGATCAGCACAGCTAGGATATAGGGGAAGTAGAAGAATCTTACCGCTAGAGCGACGACGGCCCCACCGACGGTCCCCACGAGCAGCCCCGCTCCGCTGCCTCTCGCCAGGAACATGGGAGAAACGTCGAAAGTCGGTGTCGGGCGGGAGCGACCGCAGTCCGGGCAGCGTACTCCAACCGGCGCGTGAACCAAGCACCGGGGACAGATAGCGTCTCCGCAGCGTCCGCATGTGATGCTGGTCTCAACGCCAGAGTGACGTTTGCAAAACATCGCCTGTGACATACCAATACGACCTCAGTCAGGACGACGTTCCGTCCACTCTGCCCTCTTTGGAACATCCCTGTCCCACACGAGCCGATACATGAGAACTCTCCGCAGTGGGTACTCTAACGGAGGAGGTTCCCAGTTGGCTGTCAGTCTCTTTAAGAACATCATGAGGCAGATCAGGGCAATGGTGAGGATGATTTCAGACTCACGCCTGAACGCAATGCTGGTGACGGGGAGGGCCAGCAACGCGGCAAATGTCCAGAATCCGGTGTCTCTCGTGAGCAGTCTACCTATTGTGAACACTGCGAGCCCCAGAATCAATATCTCCCAGAACATGCCAAGTCCGAGTGCGGCTCCGACGGCGACTGAAACTCCTCTGCCGCCGGTCAGTCGCAGGTACGGAGACCAGTTGTGCCCCACGAGCGCGACTAGTCCGGCAGCGCCCAGGACCCATAGGTCCAAGCCAACCAGCTTTCCCAGCGCCACTGGAAGAAGGCCCTTAACCAGGCAATCGAACGCGCCCTGCAGAATGCCCTGCCACTTCCCCACGTGTTCGATGACGTTAGAAGCCCCTACGTTGCCAGAGCCGTAGTCCCTGATGTCGATTCCCGCCACATACCTGGAGACCAGATAGCCAGTTGGGATTGAACCGATCAGGTATGCCCCGACGATGAGAATAGCGGCCTCGACCATACCTATATCGTCAGCTCCGCTGATTAGACCGGACGATTTCCGTGTGCGCGGCCTCCAGCCTGGAGAGCGTCTCCATAGGCGGTCCGACGGAGCCGGGTTCAGGTTCACCCGGGTTGCCTGAACAGTGGTAGTCGCTGCCGCCGCATGGGATCAGGTCGAGCTCGTCTGCGATTCGCTCGAGATTGGCTACCTGGTCGCGAGTGTAGTCTCCGTAGTACACCTCAATACCGACTATCCCATGCTTCTTCAACTGTCTGACGGTCGCGTCCAGCTGCTGCACTTCGCCCCTGCTGGACTTGATCTGAGAGTACGTTGGATGGGCCATCACGGGCGCCGCGCCGTTTCGCCTGAGCATCTGGATCGCGTCTTCCGGGGTCAGCTTCATCCTTTCGACGTAGGCGGGGCCGTCCCTGCCGATCAGCTCGTCGAATACCTGGTTTGGGTACTTGAAATACCCCGCCTCGACCATCGCGCTCGCGATGTGCGGCCTTCCTATAGAGGCGTCGCCTGCGATCTGCTGGACTCGATTCCACTCGATGTCGTACCCCATTGAGTTGAGGCGCGCGACCGTGGCGCGTCCGCGATCGAGGCGGCCTTCCCTGAATCGCGCGAGAGTCTGCTGAAAGTCCGCGTCGGAAGTGTCGATGAAGTATCCCAGTACGTGAATCTCGGAACCGGGCACGTCGGTACTCAACTCGATTGCCGGGATGACACGTAGACCAGGGTGTGCCTCTGCGGAGGCGAATGCCTCGCTCAGCCCCTCTGTCGAGTCGTGATCGCTGATTGCTATAACCTTCAGGCCTCGTGTGGCGCACAACTGAACAAGCTCGGCGGGCGTCAGCGTGCCATCCGATGCTCGCGTATGGAGGTGTAGGTCAACTTCGATCGTCATAATTTGATCCCGCATATGGTAGTAAGCATCCTGAAGTATCCGTTAAACGCACGCAGCGGCCGGATTGCCCCGACCGCTGCGTACACTGCTGTTTGAACCGGATGACTCTGTAGCCGTTTCTATGTTACCTCGCGTACTCGACGATCCTGCTTTCGCGGATCACCGTCACCTTGATCTGACCTGGATATACCAGGTTGTCCTCGACCTTCTTGACGATGTCCCGGGCCAGTTTGGAAGCCATGATGTCGTCGATCGAGTCTGGCCTGACCATGACGCGTACTTCGCGGCCCGCTTGAATGGCGAAGCAACGCTCGACGCCTTCGAAATCGCTTGCGACGTCTTCCAGAGCCTGGAGACGTTTGATGTAGTTCTCGACGGTATCCTTACGTGCGCCTGGCCTCGCCGCGCTGATTGCGTCGGCGGCAGCCACGATGAAAGCCTCCGGAGAGGTCATAACGTCGTCGTGGTGCTCGGCGATGCACGCGCACACTCTGGCCGCCACATTGTACTTGTTGGCGATCTCGGCGCCGATCTCAGCGTGTGGCCCTTCCACCTCGTGAGTGAGCGCCTTTCCGATATCGTGGAGCAGACCGCCGGCCTTGGCAACCTTGATGTTGGCCCCGACCTCAGATGCGATCATGCCTGCGATATGCGAGACTTCCAACGAGTGTTGAAGTACGTTCTCACCATAGCTGTAGCGGAACTTCAAGCGTCCCAGCAGCTTGATGATCTCGGGGTTCATTCCACGTACCCCGGTGTCGAATATCGCCTCTTCTCCCGCTGACCAGATCGACTTCTCGACCTCTTTCTCAGAGCGGCTGACCATCTCCTCAATGCGCGCAGGGTGGATCCTGCCGTCCGCAATGAGTTTGGTCACGGCAATTCTGGCGACCTCGCGCCTGACTGGATCGAAGCACGACAGGGTTACGGCCTCCGGCGTGTCATCGATTATCAGGTCGACGCCTGTATTCTTTTCGATTGCTCTTATATTCCGTCCTTCGCGGGCCTATCAGACGACCTTTCATGTCGTCGTTGGGAAGGGGAACTGTGGTTACTGTCATTTCAGAGACGACATCGGCAGCCATTCTCTGAATGCTGGTAGCCAGTATCCTGGAAGAGACCTCGCGGGCGTCTTCCTGTGCTTGCACCTCAATGTCTCTATACCGACGGGCTATCTCGTGTTGGATCTCCTCTTCGGCCTCGCGCATCAGCAGGTCCTTAGCCTGTGGGAGACTCAGCTCCGAGATCTCCTCCAGCTTTGCGAGCGCCTGCTGCTTGCTGTCCTCGATCTCGTCCACTATCTTCTGGGCGTGGCCCTCCTGTTGCGCGATCGTTTGCTCGCGACGTTCGAGATTATTGGCCCGCTTGTCGAGGTTCTCATCTCGCTTTCTTAGTCTGCGCTCAGACCGTTTGAACTCAGACCTGTGGTCTCTCTGTTCCTTTTCCCATTCGGCGCGCAAGTGAAGCGTTTCTTCCTTGGCCTCTATGACCAGGGTCTGAGCTCCGCGCCGCGCCGCTTCTACGATTTTGTCAGCCTCAACCTGAGCGCTGTTGATTCGTCTCGCCGAAACCAGCCGACGGCCATAAAAGCCGGCTCCAGCCCCTACCGATAGGCCTATCAGGGCGGCGAGCAGCGCAATAACGCTTTCCATGCGACTCACCTTCCTTGGTTTTCCCACTCCATCAGGCGGTTTGGGAATGGTCTCATCGTAAGCGTGGCTGTTTTGCATGTCAAGGTAAACCATCGCCTTGATTCGCAAATATTTGATCGCTCTTGCCCATTCCAATGTCCCGACAGCCGGCGCTGTCAGGTAGTTGGAGAGTCGTCCGTGTTACCGAGGTCGGGCCCGCATGACGGGGCCTGCACCGAATAGCTGCTTGCGACGCAGCGGACTCTCCACCTTGACACCATAAACCTGACGCTATGATACTCTCTGGCGAGTTGGAACTGGTGGCAAACGGTGGAATCGCCACAGATGGAGGCATAGTTGAGAGTAGTAGTCGCGCTGATTGCGGTTTTCTTGTTGGCTTCAGCTTGCGCTGATGAGCCGGTTGGCCGACTCCCGCAACAGTCCCTGTGCCAACCGCGACGCTGCAATCGTCTCCAACTCCACCGCCCACGGCCACGCCTGCCCCGACCACACCTACGCCCGCGCCCACTGCTACTCCAAAGTTGACCAGCACGCCCGCGCCAACCCCCACGTTCGCACCTATGCCTGTGATCTTGCCGACAGTCGAGGTCGTGTTAGAAACACCGACTCCTACGGCAGCGTTCCCCCAAGACCTGGACCGAAAGTTGGACGCGATTAGCCTCCAGGCAGCCGCCATTCGCGGCCTCACTAACCGCGGCTCATTCGAGCGCCGCCTGGTCTCCTCTGAAGAGCTGAGGCAGATGCTTGAGGAAGACCTTGCCGAGGACGCTGAGGACCTTGAGATCGCTGATCGACTCTACTCGATACTCGGCATAATAGAACCCGATTCATCCCTGAGCGACATCCTGCTGGATGTGTACTCGAACATAGTGGTCGGCCTGTTCGACACTGATGAAAATGCGCTGTTCGTGCTCGCCGATGGCGATGAGTTCACGCTGTCGAACGAGCTAACAGTCGCCCACGAGGTCGCCCACGGCCTGCAACAGCAGTACTACAACATCAGGGATATTCGTGATGGCACCGAGGATAACTCCGACAGGCGGCGAGCTATTACCGCGCTTATCGAAGGCGATGCCTCCCTTGTGGAGATCATCTACAGGCTCCGGGTGTTCGACGACCGCCAACGCCAAATGCACATGGAGGAATCCCAGGCCGCCGATCTCTCAGCCTATCGCGCGGCTCCGGCGCTGATCCAGCGCACGGTGGCGTTCCCATATTTCGAGGGAGCGAATTTTGCGATTGGAATGTACCAGCTAAACGGCGACTTCACGGCCATCGACCAAGCTTACGACGCACTGCCTGAGTCGACCGAACAGATACTGCATCCGGAACTTTACGGTGTGGACTCGCCGTTAGAGATCACGATGCCCGACCTGACTACCATTCTGGGCGATGGCTGGTCTGAGGTCGACCGGGACGTTATGGGCGAGCTGTTCCTGGCCGCGCTTCTGCAGGCCATGCTGCCGACAGGTGAGGCCAACCAGGCTGCTGCTGGATGGGGCGGCGACTCCTACATACTTCTTGAGGACGATATGGGCAGCGAGGCCTGGTGTCGGTCAGCGTGTGGGACACTTTGGAGGATGCCGAAGCTTTCTCATCCGCTCTGATGCAGTACTTTCAGGTTGTGACAGAGGCCGAGCAGTGGGAGGAGCAGGAGGTTGGGGACGGCGCGAGTGCACATCGTATCTCTTCGGGAAGTACGGCTGTAGAGGTCCGTTCAGAGGCGGGTCAAGTGTCGCTGACTGTGGCCGCTGATCTGGACACGGTCGACGACATAGTAACTGCCCTGATTGAGTCTGAGGGCGTAACGGTCGATCTGGAAAGCGCCGCCACCTCGACTTCGCAGTAGTCTAGCCGCCGAACATACGCATCATCTCCCGGCGACCCTTGCCGGAAGACATCTGTCTCATCATGCGCTTCATCTGCTTGAACTGGTTGAGGAGCTGGTTGACGTCTCGCGGGGTTGTACCGCTGCCTTTGGCGATGCGTCGGCGTCTGCTGCCGCCGATGATGTCGGGTCTGCGGCGCTCCTCAGGGGTCATAGAGTAGATGATCGCTTCAACCCGCTTCAGGCCGTCGTTGTCCAACTGGTCCGCCGGCAGCTTGCCTCTGACCGACGAAAATCCGGGAATCATCTCCAGCACCTGGCTCAGCGGCCCCATTTTCTTGAGCTGTTGAAGCTGTTGAAGGAAGTCGTCTAGATCGAAGCGTGCCTGACGTAGCTTTCGTTCCAGCTCCAGGGCCTGCTGCTCATCGATGCCTTGCTCGGCCTTCTCGATAAGCGTAAGCATGTCGCCCATCCCGAGGATTCTCGAAGCAAGCCTGTCGGGGTGGAACTGTTCGAGAGCGTCCATACGCTCTCCGGTGCCCATGAACTTGATAGGAACTCCCGTTACAGTGGTGACCCGAGAGAGCGCCACCGCCTCGCGCATCGCCATCCATCTTGGTGAGTGCGAGTCCCGTTAGATTGATTCGCTCGTGGAATTTCTCGGCGACATCGACGGCCTCCTGTCCGGTCATGGCGTCGAGCGTGAGCAGGGTCTCCGTCGGTTGGACTGCATTGTGGACGTCTTCGAGCTCGTCCATTAACTCGGCATCAACTTGAAAGCGACCTGACGTGTCTATGATCACCCATGCAGCGCCGACTTCCCGGGCTCGCCTGATCCCGGCTTGGGCAACTGCGACAGTGTCCGAGGAGCCGCGTTCGGAATAGACTTCGACGCCTGTCTGGCGTCCCAGAGTCTCCAACTGGTCAATCGCGGCAGGCCTGCGCAGGTCGGCTGCCACGAGCACCGATGACTGGCCACTCTGCTTGAGATGGAGGGCGAGCTTGGCGGATAGGGTTGTCTTGCCCGCGCCGTTTAGTCCGGCCATCAGGACAACAGTGGGCTGGGACGATCCGGTTGCGAGTCTGTGACTGCCGCCGGTGAGGATAGCTGTCAACTCTTCGTTTGTGATCTTGACCACCTGTTGGCCGGGGGGTCAGGCTGGTCAACAGGTCTTCCTGGGATACACGCTCTTTGATGCTGGACACGAGCTGGCGGGCGACGCGGAAGTTAACGTCTGCCTCAAGTAGGGCTATGCGGACCTCACGCAGTGCGGAGTCTATGTCCTTCTCGGTTAGTCGCCCTTTCGATCCAGAGCCGGCCGAAAACGTCGTTCAGTTTCCCTGAAAGGACTTCAAACATTCACAGCCCCAATCGTTCGACGTGGTCTGCGGCTCACGCGCGCCGTCCTGTCCCGTACACCGATTCAACCATGTTGTTCATGATTGTCGATATGAACCGGACTCCAGAGATCGCGCGGTCATACTCCATTCGTGTGGGGCCTATCAGTCCCAGCGTTCCGAGCGCGTGGCCCGGCACACCGTATCTGCAAATCACCACGCTTAAGGGGACGCAGAACGTCTCCCTGGTGCTCCCGTCCGATCACTACACGGACGAACTGTCCCACTGGCGCCTCTTCGAGTGCGGCTTCGACCAGAGAGCCGTCCTCTATACCGTGAATGATCGGCCTCACCTTGTCGTAATCTACGAACTCCGGCTGGTCCAGAAGGTTGCGCAGACCATTGACGTAGTGGTCATCGTGGCCAGATGAGTCCTCTTCCTGGAGCATGAGCATCGTAGCGTCTACTGCCTGGCGTTCGGGTGTCGTTAGCGCCACCGCCTGCTCCGCGATTTCCTCGTGAGTGAGCCCGATCATCTGGCCGCGAAGGCGAGTGGAAATCGACTCGAGGTGAGACCTGTCCACGGGCAGTTCGAAACGCAGGAGCTGCTTCCTGAGTTTGGCCTGCTCCAGCACGACGACGAGCAGTGCGAGCACGTCCTGTAGGGGGATCAGCTCCAGGTGCCTGACCCGCGATACAGATGTCTTGGGGAAGGTGGCGATGCCCAGGTTTCCCATGATCTGCGAAATCAGGGTCGCCGCGACGCTTCCCCAGCGGTCAACGTCGTCCCGGACATCGTCGAACCTATTGCTGATTGTCGCGCGGGTCTGGGACGGCACTCTGTCGGCTTCGTTAGAAACGAATGACTCGACATAGAGACGATAGGCCTTGTCCTCGGGGACGCTTCCGGCCGACGTATGCGGACGCGAGATATATCCAAGCTCTTCAAGCGCGGCGACCTCATTACGCACCGTCGCGGGGCTTACGCCTAGACGGTGATTCCGAGTGAGGCTCTCCGATGATATAGGAACTGCATCGTGGACATAGTCGCTCACGATGTGCCTGAGGATATGCTTTTGGCGGTCTGTAAGCATTTGCGTTGTCTGACAGAGACTTGAAACAACCACTGTGGAGCCCATTGCGGACTCGTATGCTGGCGGCGTTCTACCAGTATACTACAGGCAAGAACTTCGGACACCAGCGGCGACTGAGAGGAACTACATGGAGATAACCTGGTTCGGACACTGTTCTACGCGAATCGTTAGCGGCGATGTCGTGCTGCTCAACGACCCGTTCCCAGACATGGCTGTCCCTCCAGAAGTCCACATAGTTGCGGTCACGAACGACGGGCCCCTTCACTCGGCCAATGGTCGCATCGACGGCGAGTTTCACCTGATAGATGGCCCCGGACTGTACGAGGCGCTTGGATACAACATCACCGCCATCGGCACCGCGCTCAGCGACGAAGAAGGCAACAGGAGGATAAATACCGTTTACGTGATCCGGTCAGATGGTGTTTCAGTCTGCTACCTGGGTTCGCTGAGTGTCAAGTTGAGTGCGAGGCAGCTTGACTCGCTCGGCTCGATTGACGTGCTGATCGCCTCGGCGAGC